AGCAGCTTCAGGCACGACAGTGAAAGGGATCTTAGTGGGAATGCAGACGTCTCGAGGTTACTTGTGAAGGTTAGAGCTGATATAACATACTGGGGTGGGTACTGTTGTTGAGGGTGTTGTTATTGTTGGTGGTGATGGTGGTGATGGTGATAGTAGTGTAGTGATGGCGTTGGTGGTGTGGTGACTGTGTGTGTGTGTGTGTGTGTGTGTGTGTGTGTGTGTGTGTGTGTGTGTGTGCAGATAAAGAATACACTTCACACAGCTCTAACTACCATTGTTATAATGAAGAGTCAGGAAGTCTTTCAGGGGAGGGAAAGGAGTGGGGTATTAGGGGTGGGGGGAGGTAATGGGGGTGGGGCATCAGGTGTGGGGGTAATGAGGGGTGGGGGCATCAGGTGTGGGGGGAGGTGGGGGTGGGGTCATCAGGAGTGGGGGGGTAATGGGGGTGGGGCATCAGGTGTGGGGAGGGGGTATCAGGTGTGGGGGGTGGGGTATCAGGTGTGGGGGTAGGTGAGGGTGGGGAACATCATCAGGTGGGGAGGTAATGGGGGTGGGGCATCAGGTGGGGGGGAGGTAATGGGTGGGGGCATCAGGTGTGGGGGGAGTAATGGGGGTGGGGCATCAGGTGTGGGGAGGTAATGGGGTGGGGGCATCAGGTGTGGGGGGGTAAGGGGTGGGGGTATCAGGTGTGTGGGGGAGGTAATGGGGGTGGGGGCATCAGGTGTGGGGGGGGGGTAATGGGGGGGTGAGGAGGATGTACCTTGTCACCGTAGCATGACATGATAAATTACAAGATGGCGGAAGATTGTGTAGATGACTATATTAGGATTAATTTCTGTTCTTTGTATATACTGTTGTACTCTTTTTTTGTTCTTCTTTCTTCTTTTATATTTGTTGTTTCTCATTTTTATTTTTATTTTTTTTCCTGTTATCTCTGTCTTTCTTCTCCATTTTTCTCTTTGTTTTTACAGATTTATTCGTCTTTTTTCTGCTTCTTCTTTTCATCTTCTTACTCTTAGTTCTTCCAATTTCTTCCATTCATCTTGTGTTTCTTTTTTTGTTCATATTTATCTTCTCAATTCAGTCTTCATCTTCTACCCCTTTCCACCCCTATTCCTCATTGTCCCTTCCCATCCCCTATCATCATCACATGGCCTCGCCCTCCCTTCGCGCATCAGTGATAATGAACAGTAAAGAGAATGAACGGATAATAACGTGATAATAACACGTATGAGAGTAACGGAGGAGAGATAATAAGGATAATTAGTAACGCTTCATACCCATTCTTCTCTCTTTCTTCTGTCTCTTATCATTTGTTATCGCTATTATCTTTAGCGTCGTTCTCCCTTTTCCTCCTCTTCCTTCTCCTACTTCCTCTGGCTACTCTCAACACATATAGACTAATAACTGCGAGTAAGACATGTTAAAGGTATGATAATGATATGGCACTTTGTGGGGCTCAAACCCATGGTGGCGCTGAGTAGCTTGGGAAGTGTCCGTCTCACACTTAGTGCAGCAAACTTCGAATACTATAAAGTACCTGAGCGCCTCCATTATGCCCCCATATAAATAAAGGAGTAACGATAAGAATCCCAGGAGAAGGTGGCGGTGCGGGTAATGTCTCCCTCGCTCCCCTAATTAAAAATGAAGAAAAATATCCCAGAGTTTTTCAGGTGAAAATCTAATTAGTAGACGTGGTGGAGGGGGCGCATTGCCCTAGACCACAACAAGCTTTTGAAAAGTAGAGAGAATGGGGGATAGGAGAGGGTGAGGAAGAGAGAAGAGATGTGGACAGGGGAGAGGGAAGAGGACGGGAAAGGAAAGGGAATTGTAGGGGAGAGGAAAGGAGGATGGAGAGAGAAGAGAAGAGGGGGAGAGAAGAAGGGAAAACCTAGGAAAGGAAAGAGGGAGGAGGAAATGAAAGAGAATTGTCCTTAAAAGTTTATAAGTTAATTCCTAAGTTTCTATATTATCTCATCGTATTATGAATATATATCTTACCGTAATTAATAGTTATATTATGTATAACCTTCAGGCCATATTGAATAACACAATTTTACAAACTCAATGAAAAGAATAAAGATAAAGATAATTGAAGTAGATTATAAAGAAATAAGTGACAATAGGAAATTAATGTTGGTAATTACAAAGGTTACATCAATGTTGGTAATTACAAAGGTTACATTAATGTTGGTAATTACAAAGGTTACATTAATGTTGGTAATTACAAAGGTTACATTAATGTTGGTAATTACAAAGGTTACATTAATGTTGTTTATTGTTTTGTCTCAGTCTTTGTCTCGTAAACTTGTCTGTGATGTTTGTGTGATCTTTGGTGCCAGTAGTCAAGGAAGACAAAATGAGAGAGAGAAAAATAAAAGGGAGAGAGAAATAGAGATAAGTGAAGAGAAAGAGAAAATAAAAATAGAAGAAGGGTAAAAATATATAGATAAAGTGAAAAATAACGATGAAGAGAGAAAAGAAGAGATGGAAGTAAGATGATAAATAAAGGAACAAGGATATATAGATAAATAGTAAGAAGTAACAATTATAAATAAAATGGTGAGACACAACTGTTGTTTACATTGGAACAGTTAAAACACAGAGAGACGAGAGACATATCCTTGCTGGGTTGGGGGGAAGAGAGGGTGGGGCTACAGTAGGGGAAGGGGTGAGGGGTAGGGGGATGTAAATGAGATACTCTACCCCTTATTCAGTGCCAACCGTCTCAGGCGACACTCACTAGTGCCAAGAATTTTATTCAATCTCAGGTCACTACCGGGAAGAATTCACTCACTCTCTCTCTCTTAAACGATCGCGTGTCACTTTTTTTTATGCAATGCTAAGTCGAGCCCGTGAGTTGGTTCAGGATTGTGTAAAATTAGACTTCTCGGTAAGATAATTATTAGACTAGGTTTTTTGTGTGTGTGTGTGTGTGTGTGTGTGTGTGTGTGTGTGTGTGTGTGTGTGTGTATGTGTGTGTGTTAGCCATCTATATTAATCCTAATAAAATAAAACCCAGGTTAAGCAGTAAGTTTTGTGGTGGTGTTTGTAGTAGTGATGACTCATAATGCTCGGTAATGTTGTCTTGATGAAGGTGGAGTAGTCACAGACCAGGTGTTGGAATTCCTGTCAAAACCTGTTACAATCCACTGAGTTACCTGTGTGTTACCTGTGTACCGAATAAAGACGGTAAGATACAACCAACAGATTATAAGATGATTTTAAAGCCTAACAGACGACCTCGTTCAACGTCGCCTCGAATTCATCCAACGCAACGGGTAACGAATGCTGTATAAATCGCAATAAAAAAAATCCTCGTTTTGACTCTCCAGCGAAGCAGCCGTCAAGTAACACTGACTGGCCTTGACAAACACACGTACAGGGAAGTATTTTAATTGACACCACATAAAAACATCTAGGGACCCTCCGCGTTACTCTTCGCGAAATCTGCTTCTAATTAGCTCGATCTCCGTGAAGGCTGACACACTCGGCGGCGCCCTGGTGGTTGTGGCGGATGTTGCACACTCCACTGCAAGGGATCACGGAACGATGACTCTCTTGAAAGACTCTACCCTTGAAGCCGGAATCGACGTTCGCTGGTCCGAAGCCAAGAAATCTAGTCAAATTTCGTGACGATGATCCACTGAGACCAGATATTTATGCGTGGCAGTGAGAAGTGATACCACCCTCAGTGTCAAGACCTGACTGAATTACTCAGAATAGGCAAACTGTACTACAAGTTTTGCCAATAAATTTGTTAAACTAAAAACTATGCCAGACTGAACCAGTTCTACCACACACCGGCTCGTCACTCGGCTCTGGCCACCTCGAGGCCAAGAAGCTTGGCGCCCGTCAAGAGGAACTTGTCTCTACACGAAGTATCTACTGAAACTTATAATTGACGTAAAGTTACTCCTAAAAATATTTTGTTTTACTATTTTTATTTTTTTTTACTTTTTTGGGTTAGGGTAAAATAATGTAATGTCGACCGTATATATTGTTTCAGGGTTCGAAGATTACCACTCCGCCACTAGTAACTATGAACTAACATTTAGCCCGTGGAACTTAGCGCCACCACGTGAGACGTTTTCCCACTGTACGAATACGGTGGTGAGAGCTGCTGTGTCCCTGACAGAGGGTCGAATCCTGGCCGAAATATCTGAAGCGTTACATAACACTGTGGCGACCAAGTGTGACAGGTGCTCTCTTATATCACTTACTGGTGACGTTGATATAAACTGAACTTTCCTAACTCTGTAACTCTACTGTATATTGTAACTACTGTAACTTTCTATACTGTAACTATATTTACAACTGATCATTTATTCCGTCCAACATCACATTAGATAACAAAACCATCACTATCAGTCAGGTCAGGAGAGGCGGGACTTGCTTTTATGTGTAAGTATGGGTCAAATCAGCTACGCCTGACTAGTCCTAACCCAGTGTTTCTCAAACCTTTTCCTTCCATTCCCCCCATGAGGAACACTCAACATGGCCCCCTTCAGTTCTCTCCCAAGCCCCTCACAAATAATGATGAAAATAAACTGTTTTGGTTCTCTTCCTTTATTTAAATGTTTACAATCATCAAATATAATGCACATTTTGTTACAGTCAATGGGATGGATGACATTGTTTCCTTTCAGTTAGTCGACTGATTCGAGGTTGAGTCACTGATAAAGCACATCTCATGTCTGGGTCCACATGTAACCGGTTTCGGCTTTTAGTCTTTATCTGAAGAAGGTGGAGAAACCAGATTCACATAAATAAGTAGTAGAAAATGGCAAGAAGACTCGAACTGCGATCTCACTAACTTTTGGATATGACTGATACATTAAGCACCAGAATACAGTCAGAGATTTTTCTTCATAGAGGTCTTTGGCAGCAGATTCATTCCTGAGATCAAGGAATTCGTCCTGACCATCGACGGGAATGGCAGCAATATCAAGAGTGCCAGAGAAAGGATTCCTCGCCAGTTTCCCTTCTTCCTCCTCACTTTACAAGGACTTCAAGTGCTGAATTATTTCATTTTTGAGTGATGGGTCAAGTAGATGACCCTCTTCAATCTCGTCAAGAACAATTGAGATATTCTCAAACATGGCAACATTTCCTGCACTGACTTTCCTTTGCCAGTTCTGGAGTTTGCCAAGAAATGCACGACTACAATACATGTGGTGAAACACATTTCTTTCCTTGCCTTGTAGCCTGAGATTCAGCCAGTTTAGCTGCTCAAATATGTCTGCCAGGTGCGCAAGATGTGGCTCCCACAACAAGTGACTTAGTAGATCATCCTTCCCTTTCATTTCTAGGAACAACTTAAGTTCTCCCTGAAGTTCGAACACTCGAGTCACAACATCACCCGTGGAAAGCCATCGCACTTTGGAGTAAAAGAGGAGGGTTTCGTACTCTGAATCCATGCCTCTACAGAGGTTCTGGAAAGGGTGAGAGTTCAAATCTCCTGCTTTCACAAAGTTGACGCATTTTACCACTGCCTCCAGGATCTTGTAAAGGGCACGAGGGAGGGTTTTCGATGCTAGTGCAAAACGATGAATCATACAATGAACCCCTTTGACATTCAGAGCTACTTCATTGACGTGCTTCTGTAACCCCGATTTCGATCCCAGCATCGCCGGGGCCCCATCAGAACAGACCTCCACAAAAAATTTTCCAGGTGATCCCGTTAGCAAAGAAGAAAGAAGTCAACTTTTCCATCACATCTAAAGCTGTTGTGGTAGTTTCAAGCTGTGTACAGAACAGATATTCATCCTTGATGTCACGCAAGAATACATACCTAACAAACACGAGTAGCTGTGCACAAGAACTCGCATCCGTTGACTCATTCAACTGTAATGCAAAGATACTAGTTGGAGACGATTTAATATCCTATATCACTTGTTCCATGATATCATCTGACATTTCACTAATTCTCCCTTTCACCGTGTCGTCTGACAAGGAAATCTGCTGAGTCTTACGTTCACTTGCCTCTCCAAGAACCCGCTTGACCATATTTAAAGCACAGGGGCTCAATTCAAGTTTCACCAATTGTGTGGGCCGTCTTCTTCTTTGCTATTTCAAGGTAAACCTCATATGATGCCTCAACTACACTTAAGTTCTGTTGTTGGAAGGCACCACTCTCATCCAGTCTCTGTTTTCCCAAACTCCGTTTCATGGCGCTTGAAGAAATCGGGGTCTCTCTCCGCATACTGGGGGTGGATTGTCGTCAGATGATGCTTCAGCACTTTGAAACACAACACACACTGAGGTTTCTCGATGCCATCAGCGAGGATTGATGTAAAACCGTAGTTAATGTATTCATCATTGTACTTCCGCTTCTTAGCAACACTGGCAGCCATCGCAATTCTAAGGAAATATAAAAAAAGCAATGCCAAACAGACTGAAACAGACGAATGATAAAGACTAAAAATTATAATAATAAAAAAAAAGAGAAAATAATCCGAATGGCAAACACACAAACATGCATGAAGTCCATACATACTGCACGTAAACATACATAAAATGCCTATGCAATCACACGTAAAACATACACATACAGTCCACTCACAGTCCACTCACAGTCCACTCACAGTCCACTCACAGTACACTCACAGTACACTCACAGTCCACTCACAGTCCACTCACAGTCCACTCACATATTTTCATAATGATATCTTTAGCCAGACTGAGAACATTCGGTCTGATCACCACTTGTAAAGCGATGACACACGGACCTGTACAGAACATGTGAGATCAATGACTCAGTCCAGCGCCGTCACCCTGCTGACAGGAACTAGAATCGTGCAATCTGAGCGAATCCGTTGGAAATGAAAAAAACTAGCTGCTGCACCATACTGTGTAAACTGTACCGTCCGGGTATTAGGATTACACACAATGACAAAAAAAAAAAGAAAAAAAATCTCCCCTAACAAGGCAAAGTAAAAAAAAAAAAGTTGAATCAGAGTTTCCACATTTTCTCCAAACATACACTACTTACACTAGCCCGCCATGGCCCCCCTAAAATCTTGCCGTGGCCCCCAGTTTGAGAAAGACTGTCCTAACCTAACCTAACCAAACCTTTATATATTTTTTTATTTTTTTCCCATATTTCCCTCTTCTCTCTTTTCTCCCTTGCTTTCCCATCTTGCTTTCATTAACCTTTCACTCTCTCCTCCAGCCTTTCCCTCCAAACCCCTCTCTCCCCTCCCCTCTCCTCTCCTCCCCTCCATTCCACTTCCCTACCTCTCTCTTTCCTTCCTTCCCGCTCTTTCCCCTCTCCCTCTCCTCCCCTTCCCCACCCCTTCCCTCCCACTCTTATCCTCCTCCCTCCCAATAGGCTAGAGTGGGCTGCTATACCAGATAATTAAGCACTGCCTTAGACGACGGCTTCAACGCTAGACAGAGGCAGGTAAATTGGTCTCATTAAACGCCTTCTGTTCAGGTGTTGTGTGTGGCCTGCTTGTGTGGGAGGGGGGAGGGGGTGATGGAGATAGGGGGTAGTGATGCTGGTGGGGAGAGGGGCGGAAGGGAAGGTAGGTAGGTTGGGGGATGAAGGGCAGGGGTAAGTGGTAGATGGTGGGGAGTAGATGTATGGTAGACGCCCCCCTCTCACACACACACACACACACACACACACACACACGCCTCACTCCCTACTCTTGGTAATAAGAGAGAGGCGAAATGGTAATCCCAGTTTATAATACAAGTTCCGTGAGAGCGAAAATTACTTCATTAAGATATATGGGTTAAGACTGTATGGTGCTACGTGAGGCAATCAGGGTTGGTGCAGGGTTGTGTGTGTGTGTGTGTGTGTGTGTGTGTGTGTGTGTGTGTGTGTGTGTGTGTGTGTGTGTGTGTGTGTGCAATAATAATAATAATAAACAGACTTCATCCTTGATCATAGTTTACCTGCCACATCTTCACTACATGTTCCACTTCAGGTTTTTATAGATCATTTTAGTAAGTTTTGTCACCACTATGATATATTTTCTGTCTTATTTCTACCATGGGAACTCTGGGTGTCATACAGCATACACCAAACGAGCTCTGATATTCTTCATAACGGGTGTACTGTACTGTATAGTGTTAGTAATGTTTAACTTGAGGGAGGATGGGGGGAAGGGGGTAAAGGAGAGGCTGGAGTGAATGTTTGGTTGGAGGAGGAGGAGGAGGACTAGTATTACGATAGATATTCCAATTAATTTTATAACTATTATAAATATTTCAATCTGCCATTAGAAATACTACTACTACTACTACTACTTTTTTTTCTACAACTACTACTACTACTAATACTACTACTACTACAAACATACCATTATAAGTAATACTGAAGTAAATAAACACTTAAAACCTGTTGTGTGTATCTGGCAGGACATAAAAACAGCAACATGACAGCAACACCATCACTCGAGCTCAAAGACTCAAGACATCTTCAAAAGACACAAACTAACACGACACAACACACAGCACCTGAGTCACCCAACCATCTCGGTCAAGTCACACATGGCGCCCTTACTCTCACCCCCTTCAGGTGACGCGGCATCTGCAGTAGTGTCCACCGTCACCACGTAAGAATTCACCATTGTCTCCTGTAGGGATTTAGTGTTCTTATTATTGGCAGTTTTTTTTAATATTTTTTATTTATTTTTTAATTTATTTTTTTGTTGTTGTTCTAAGTTGTACCGAAGAATTGGGGTACATGATCATCTCAACGGTGTGGTGAATGGTTAAGGTTAGGTTAGGTTAGGTTAGGTTAGGTTAGGTTAGGTTAGGTTAGGTTAGAGAGATGATATTTATAGAATGCATTAGACAGACCTTCTGGTGTAGGTGTGACGTGTGTGGAAAGTTTCGTAAACAGGAAATTTAAAAAAAAGACGGACGAGGCTTATGATTTACCTTGTAGGATGTGTTAACGTGGAGCATCAAGTATAGGAATTAAGATACATTACAACACAAGACTTCTCATATTAGTGGAGGTTTCTTACAATGATGTCACTTTGTCCTTGTGTGTTACAGTAGACGTGATGAAGCTTATGAGAAGGAGAAGCTGCATCTCACCCCAACACACACACACACACACACACACACACACACACACACACACACACGAGAGAGAGAGAGAGAGAGAGAGACATTCCGTTACGTGATTTTTCTTCTTAAATGTTTAATGTTTGTTTTTTCGCCTTTTTTTAATCTCTCTCTCCAAGACTAATGAGTTACGTTATAAAATACATTACATTTCTGAGAGAGAGAAAAAAAATAAATGGAAAGCTAATGTTAGTTTAATGGAACTCTTACTAATGCTAATAGCCTTCACACTGAGATTTTCTTCCGTAAAAACAAAAAAACAAAAAAAAAACAATGACGTCATATAAACAAAGCAGGTCTGTTTTGTTTCTCTAGCCATTTATCGTTGTGTTCATCATATTCATCATCAAGTTAGTTATCACGTTATGAGAGAGAGAGAGAGAGAGAGAACACTAGTGAACACGTGTTTTCTCCGTCATTCATACACACATCAGGCAGCTCAGTCATGTGGTATTGTCTCATGTCTCTCCTCCTTATATGGCTGGATGCTCTTGTTTATTTATGATCAATATTCCAGTTCCTTTATGAAGCAATGGATAATATAATTTTGTCTTGCTTCAGCCTCTCTCTGCTGAATAAAACCGTCTGACGTTACCCAAATTCATTAGTGAAGTGGCGTACCGTAGAGAAGGGGTTGAGAGGATCATATTCACTGTATCTAAACATATGTACTGATGCAGAGAGAGAGAGAGAGGCACAGCCATCAACCAGACGCGACAGAGTACATGAAGCAGTACACGCCAGCTGTCATGTTTAATGTAAAGAGTGACTTACGACCCGCGGCTGGTCTCGTAACTCACCCAGGACACAACACTGCCTCTTAATAACACACTCCTGTTGGCTCATCCTAAAGAGGGAAGGAGGAAGTGATCAGGTCCTCGTAAACATCAAGAGGTTCATGGTTGGTCTAACTTATGAGGATCACAGTATAGCAGGTGGAGCTCTTGAGGCAGGAGTCCCAGACTATTGACCCTAGACCAAACACAGGTGGCGGAGACCAAGGTGTAATATATGTTCCCCGTTGGTGTAAGTTAGATGCATGAGCAGCAGGTGAGGACAAGATATTGGCAGTGAAACTAATTAATGGTGACTCATCTTTGTTAAGGAATAAAATGAATGTTATGGAGCCAGTTGAAGAACATTTGGTACTTCAGGGTTATTGATGTAGGAGGAAGAGTCAGGTATATATTATTAGTTAATTAGTAAAAATGTCCTAAATATATCAATAATTACTCACCTGTAAAAACAAATAACTTAATCTAGGAAATTAGCGTATCTAAAAGCCATCATCAATCAGATTCTTGTCACGTCGCTGTTCAGAGTTTTAGTAACACCTGAGTGAAGGAACGTCTGACAACTTAACACCTATTATCAGTACTGCTTCAGGAGAGGATCACACTGCAGAGATGTGGTCATAATTATGTCCACGACGAGAGTGACTAAATACCGTTGTTTTATCCTCAGTATTACTTTGGTCGCCAGGTGTTCAATAGGGGTCTTCAGGTGTTCATTAGAGGTACTCAAGGGTTCAGTAAATGTGCTC